GAATAGAGCAAATTCTCATTTTTAGATTGCTTGGTAGTATTTTTGGCGTAACTAGCATTTTAACTGAAATCCTCTTTTCCACAGAACATTCTAGGTAAGACTGTCAAGCTGAAGTAAATACTCTTTTTTGGTATCTCCAAGACCAAGCACTGCACATCTTGAGTCACCTTGGGTCCTATATTTTCCAATACCTCATTATTTGCTTCTTTCTAATTCTGTAAGCTTTGTCACATACCCCCCAAAATCTCCCCTTTAAATTAGCAGAGTGAATCTGTGTTCTGTGAAATGAAAGATCCATTACTAACTCCATGAGTAACTTAGATTCCGTAGCCATTTCCCACTAAGAAAATTCATCAGCAACTAGATACACCTAACTAAATATACTCTAGCCAAACAGAATTTCTCTTGTATTTCTATTATTCTCCAAAACCTGGAGGATACTCAGTTATTGTCAAAAAATAAAAATGCTTCTTTTTTCTGTATTACAACAGTTCATCCATCTCTAACTCTGGATGCATGAAGGTAATGAGTATAGTATTGTCCTAACTAAGCACCGCTGAATATTGTACTGTCTTAGCTAAGCATCCAGGACAATGATGCTAAATGGAAATACAATGAAAGCCACAGATGCACACTATGGATTCAAGCTATCTGAGTAACTATATTTTTAGTAGGTTTTCAAATTATAATTTGGCATGCAAAATAATACTATAAGAGCACTTAAAAAGTAATAATAGCAGTCAACATTTACTTACAATGGACTTTGCTCCTCTTAATAACCTTATAATTTTTTTTTTTACTAACTCTGTTTTGCAGGTAGGGAACATGAAGCCAGAGAGATGAAGAGAGTTCCTCACATAATATATCTAGTAAAAGGAAGAGCCAGAATTCAAAGTTAGCCTAAATCCAGAATCTTTAATAATTACCATATCGTACATTTTTTCCTGAAATAAAAAAAAAAAAAGCAAGACGATACCGCTTCCTGAGTCTTACCAACCACACTAAAATATCTGGACTTGTAGTTTGTACTCCTTTAGCAATGTGCAATTATCTTGGAAGTATATATGAAAGTGCAATGCAGCAATTTAATATCTAGTTTTAAAACCAATTTGCTTAAGTGTTGACTTTAAGATTTTATATGTATTCCATTTTACCAGCAGTTATTTAAATAAATTGTATAAATGTGTGTCTCATTTGCAGGCTCTGTTGATTAACTCTAAAACAGGGCTCCTCTCTGCCTGGGATTTTGCCTCCTGCCTAGGGCTCTTACAGATCACCCTCCAGGAAACTAGAAGTTGATTACTTTGCCTTGTACCTCAACACACGTCCTGAGACACTCACAAGTGATCACACGCAGATGCAGAAAATTATGCTCACCAAAATTTGCTTCTGGAGTTATCAAATATGGCTGAAAAAATATACCAAGAAGTTATCTATAATACAATGAAATCTCTCCAGGGATTATCTTTACATTAAAATAGATTAGCTAAACTGACTTGTAAAGAGAGAAGACTATGTTGTTGCATGTCTAGGATATTGTTGAGATGTGTATGCAAATTTTGGGCCAGAGTTGAATTGATTGATGAAGCAGATAATAGCATGAGGTTGTCACAAATATCTTCCTTCTCATCATTTTTGGTATATAGAATATACCTCATCTAAAAGTGCTACTGGCCTGACAGCAACCACAGTGACACACACAATAGACAGAAGCCCTGGGTGGCCAATGCACTGATTCTAATATCTTCATATTAATCTGATGTTAAGGAGTGAAGTACCATCAGAGCACCCCATAACAGGGTGGGATGATACTGCCAGGGGTTTTCTTCAATGGAGAGCCACTGAATATGAGTTTAGATCCAACTACAATATGGCCAAGGATATTTTTATTCATCAATATAAAATTTTGACATCTTTGAGCTTTGTTAGCACTTGCAAATCATTTAACAAATGCCATCATAAGGGCTGGCCAGATAGCTCAGTGGACTATAGCTCCTGCTTAGGCAGAGCACAGCGGCCAGGATTCCATCCCTGACGGGCCATGCAGGCCCCACTCCTGGGGTGCACTGAGTCTGTGTTTGAGACTGGGCGTCGGGGCATGTGCCAGTAATCCCAGTGCTTGGGAGGCTGAAAACAGGTGAATCTCCACAAGTTTGGTCTACATAGCGAGACCCTACAGACCCCATAGACCCTGTACTAAATACCCCCACCAAAAAAAAAAAAAAAAAAAAAAAAAAAGGCCATCATTTTCACTGCTGGAGAACTGAAGGTCAAGGGCAGTGATAGATACATATTGAATCCCTGCTACAGGCCTACCAAACCCACTAAAGACTGTTCACTTTTCAGCCTTGCTAAGCATCTTGAACCACAGACACTCCCAGGAAAGAGCAGGAGGCTCAGGACAGCCGCGAGTCCATAGTAGCTCTGAAATCCAGCAGGACTAGTATTGCACATGTTTAATGTTTCCTGCTTCTGCTTTCTTGGGTGGTTTCCTAACCAATATTCTCTGTGGCTCTTGGTTCTATTCTCCAGTAGAAGGGACACACTCAACAGATACCTGTGACACCTCTGAGGTCAAACACACCGATGGCCAGATGCGGCTTCTTTTCACTCTCCTTGTTTTACAATTCAGTGGTTGGTTTCTGATTCCCAAAGCGTCAGCTTATATGGAGAAAACAGCGTTCTTTCCCCAGCTTCCTTCACAGCACAGTGTGGCAATCACATGTGCCTAGATTCCCATTTCCCTGTACTGTCCAGCTTGATGCTCTCACCGATGATTTAAGCCAGCATGTTCTCTCATTTCCAACTCCCCACTATAGACTCTTCTGTGTTATTGCTTCCTCCCACATATGTAAGATATGATTTCTGTAATGAATTATTGAAGCCATAATGTTCCTCACATAAACACATTGCTGTGTTTAATCTTCCCCACAGCAGTACAGATTACACAATGAGCAACCCAACCTTACAGAGGAGGATGCTGAGGCTCTGACAAGCTAGGTAACTCGCCCCAGGTTACAGAGTCAAAGGGAGTCAGAGATCAAATCTGAATTTAAATCTATCCTATTCCCGAGTTTCTTGTAATAAACCTCTGCCCTCCATTTATGAGCAGGGAAGGAATAAGGATAGTAAGGTACAGATAAATTAGCCTCTGAAGGAAAAAGACAGCTGTAATTTACTTGTATCTATGGTGTAAAGACTCTCATTGAAACTAACTGTGCATTTTTAATAGTCTAAAATCTGGCCTCTAGGGCTGAGTGTGGCTCAATGGCAGAGCATTTGCCTAGCATGTATGGGGTCTTGATTTGGATCCCCAGGGATGACAGCAATGGCTAAAAATGGCTTGCAGCACTTCTGAGTATTTAATCTGATGAGCTGGCCCGAGTGGCTGCAGCTAGGAAGCCAAGGGCTCACGGTCAGTCATGCAGTCATGGCTAGCTAAAATGTGGGAGTGCGTTTCTTCTGGTGTCTCATCTATGTGTAAGTAATCACATTTCCAAGTGTTAGCATCTTCCTGGCTGTGCTTGAGGTCTTTCTGTTTTGGGCAGAACCCACTCAACCTATTCACATGATAAGCTTAAAGCTCTGGACACTGATACTGCATCATCCCTCCCACAATAATGGAGAAGAGTATTGCGCACATATCCAGCTCTCATCCTTCTGATTGGATAACCCCTACTGTGTACCCTCCATACAGCAAGATTAGGCTGTAGTTACCCACAGTGATACTTCAAGATGCATTCTCCGTTGGCTGCGTCCCCGGAATCACTTCCCAAAGTAACTACTTATACTCTAACCTCTGATTCAGAACCTGCTTCTGAAAAACATACATTTTAACAGACAGTTACCATTCTTTAAGGCCAGTAAGCCACACAGACACTGTACTAGGCGCTTGTATCAAATGCTTTTGCACTAGTCTGCATAATGCCTTATGAGTCAATTTTCATATTCAATGCTTTCAAACACAGGAATCAGGGAGGTTAATTAATTCTATGGAGAACACATGGCTGGTATAGTAAATAGCAGAACTGATATTAAAAATATAATTGATTGCAACATCTATCCTCTTTCTGCTAAACTATGCAGCCTCTCTCAGTTGGTAGAGTGAACTAACAAACATGAAACAATAAAAGAACAATTAACCGCTAAGCTGTCATATTGTATTGAACAGTTCTGGGAAAAATTGTCATTACACTTCAGTTTCACAATTACTTTCTGAAATTCTCCTTTGTTGTGCTATCAACTTGAAAAATAAGAACACTGGCTAATATTATAAAATCCAATTTTTCATAGATTTTCTTTCTCCTTTATCACTGTTTCATACAAATTAGGTACTGAAATAAAACTGGGCTGATAACATAACAGAGTATACCATGATGAAAATGCACATGAAAGAAATAAGTTGCTTGGGTGCATTTTTTGCCCAACATAGCATCTGGGATAAGAGATACGTCATAAAATCCCCACCAAGTCTCTATTGATTTTTTAAGTCAACATAAAATATGAGCAGATCAACCACATAACATTCAGATTGCTAGATCGGGAATGGTCTTATCAGCTAAAAACATCATACAAAGGGACTTCAGAATATATTTAATAGGAAAAAAGCCAGAATGTGGAAGTTCAAGATTTGTCAATACTGTGACTAAATCATCAAATAGACTTTAATATATTCAACAATGATGGATCATCAAGTAATTTAGATAGCTACTCTACAAGTTTAGCATAAAGAAGCTCCAAAACACTAATTTTAGCCCCGCACCAACACATCTCAAATGCTAGTGGGAACAAATATAAATTCCGATTCTTCAATCAATATTTTTGCAGGGTTAGTTTCTTACTTTTAATTGCCTTTGCTAAGAATGTACACATGATGAACATTCTAGAAGCTCAGATAGTGGACTTTGAGCCCAGACTCTGGCCCTCAGTGCCTCTGTGACTGCAAGTACTTTGACTTCTCTCGTTGACCCAGGAGATAGCTCAGTAGAATAAGCACTTGCCTGGAAAGTGCAAGGGCCTGAGTTCAATCCCAGGTTCTGCCAAAAAAAAAAAAAAAAAAAAAAGGAGACTTCCTTTAATCTTTGGCTGGGGTGATAGCTCAGCAGTCTAAGCACCTGCCTGACTTCTCTGGTTAAAGGGTCTTCTCAGTTAAATGATTCTTTACAAGATGCCTTGCTACTCTGATAATGATTCAATGGCTAAGATACACTTGTCAAGTCTACTTTTTCACATTTTCTTTTGTGTATAATTGATCCAAACCACATTCTATCACTTCTGAAAGTGGTCTTCAACACTATTTTGCATAATAATGAATCCATAAAAGATTTCAGGACCTCATGGAAGTATCTCAGGGGAGAAAGCAATGGAGAAGGTCAGCAGGTGCTCTTTAACCCTGTGACAATACTTCAAACCTGGAAATGCTGTTTTATCTTTAGCTTCCCTATATCATTATATTTAGACAAGACTTATTAGGCAAGGATGAATATATAAACATCTTGGTGTAAGATTACAATATGACTCATAGATGTTTATCACTCATCTCTTTTCTCTCTTTAAAAACCTGATCAATGAGGCCTTACTTTCCATGCAACACTCCATCAGCCAACCTGAGACTCAACACTCCGTGCACTCACAGTGACAACTGCAGTGTCCAAAGGCAGGGACAGTGACAAAGGCAATGATTTTGGCTGAAGCAGTAAAGCTCATTTCTTTTAAAGCTATTTAGATTGTTATTACTTGTATCATGCTCAGGTAGACAGAATATGCAATGTATTTTGTTTTTTAATCTGGAGAGAAATAACAAGTTTACTTCAGTTAGCCCAATCTGGCTAAAGCTTAATCAGCTATAGTTAATTAAACAGGCCCTTTAGTCAATCCTATGTTTAACTTTGTAAAAAATGTTTGATGTCTCAGATTTCCATTGCCTTCTCTCCTAATCCTCTTCTTCATAGCTTCTAGGTACACAAGGGAAAAAGCACATCCTACTCAGATTCAAAGTGGAGGAAGGGAAGTGGAGTCCTCGGAGCTGTGGGCATTTGTACTTTTGTCTCTAGGCAATGTCACATCTACCTGCTCACTCCTCTCCACCTGACAGCCATGGTGCAAGCACACTCCTGGTCTCTTTTCTCTCACCTCGCCCAGGGACTGGCCATGCTCTCTGGCCACGGCAGCCTCACCTTGGCTGTAATGGTGCTGCAGACCACTCTCAGCTTGTGTAATATTTTTCTCGGGATCCTCAAAAGAGCAGGCCCATCCTATGGCTTCTCTCTTCGTCCTCATCAGAGAAGCGTTCCCCGAAGGGTTGATTTAGCTATCCTGTGAGGGAAAGTGGGTCTGTTTGAATCACTGCCTGAGACACTTGAGCAAAGCTCCTCTTCTCCATCAAAAATCAGTCAGCTTGGTCATTAAAAATACTACAGTGGTGTCCTTCTTCAAGAAAAGCAGATAAAAGATTTCTGTTGTCATCTTCCATGTTCCTATAAAGCTATATATAAACTAACTCGTGTGCTCTTGCCCTTGCCTTGACCCCAAGCAATGAGAGAAGGATGCACGCTACCGCACACAGCCCTTCTGCCTCAATTTCCCTTTGGCCCTGTAATTACCCCATATTAGAAATGGACATTTTTGTTGATTCCCCTATTTTAAGTGTCCCTTTTTCTTGACCTTACTTTCTCAGCTAACGATTAAAGATGTGTCAAAGGATCTTCTCTGCACTAGACATCAAACTCATGATTTGAACCTCTAGGCTTAGTGGGTTTTATTGAAGAGAAAATAAAAGAATTTGGAAAGTTCTATTTCAAGGTAATAAGCTGGCTTAAAATACTAACATTTTTCTTTGAAATTCCCCTTTTGACTTCCAGAATCAAAACAGTAGCTGTCATTCTTTTTGCATTCTGCCCACATAGACCATACTCTCTCACAGGCACAGAGCTGCTTGCAGAGAGGAGCAGGTACTCAGAAAGGCAGAAAAAGAAAAGTGCAGTGAAATGTTTCTAAAACATCATATGCATGGAAACACTCTAGAGCTGGATTGTGGTGAAAGTTCAACAATTTTGTAAAGATGCAAAGAATGGAATTGTAGACTCAAATAGGTTAATTTATAAATATAAATCACATCAAAATAAAGCTCTTAAAAAGTAAAATACCATGTAAAAACCTAGTCATCCTCCCACACATTGCCCTATCAATTTAGGATCACTGCTTATGGAAACAGTGGCAAATGAGAGAGTAAGAGGGGGGAAGCTTAGGCAATGCTCTCTTCCCCGAGGTTAGAGATGAGTCACACTCCCAGTGCAGTTCACTGAGTAGAAAGCTATAATTTTCCTTCTGACTAAAACTTACCTGCCAACTGTGTTTGCCTCTGTGTCTTCAGTAATAAATGTTATTAGTTTCTTCAAATCATGGGTTTGAACTGTAATTATGCATGCAAACATTCTCATAAAATAGTTTTTCATTTTCATATACCTCATATGCAAGCTTCTTATCTGACAAAACCAACTATCTAGAGAGCACAAAAGAATGGCAATGAAAGCCAGAAACAAAGTCAGTGCAACAGATACTCATTAACTCTTTTCAGGATAGCTGCACATCCAACACAGACGCCATCTGCCTTTATCATGTATAATTTCCACATTTTCTGGGTGAAATACAAAGAGGAGATGATGGCCAAGCTTATGAAAGGCTATACATTGGAAGAAGTATGGCAAATGGAGACTAAAGATGCTGTTACGATTTAAGTGAAGAAGGAAATAAATGTGATATTCACAGGAGCTCTGATGATGGATACTTCAACAGTGTGCAAAAAGATAAAATAACTAGCAACTGGCGGCCTGAGCTCCTGTGAAAGGACAAACAGCTGGACCCATCTTACTGTTTTAAAAGTACTGTAATATGATCAGTGCTCACAGTGACAAAGTTGAGATACACACAAATGATTAAACTTATTCAGGAAGTGCTGTAGTCTGAAAACTTCTCTCATCCTAAACTCATGTGGAAATCTAATTGCTACGATAACAATTAAAGAGGAGTAGGGCTGGGGAGACAGCTCAGTGGCCTAACGGCCTGCCTGGCAAGCGCAAGGACGTAGGTTTGATCCCTGGTACCGCATGCTATGCTGGCCTCAGAACCCTGGGCACACTGCCAACCACTGAAACCAGGCATGGTGGCCCATGCCTGTAATCTTAGTGCTGGTTGTGCTGGGACAAGAGGATCACCATGAGTCTAAACTTCATAGTCAGTCCCCGTACCAAATAAATAAATAAATAATATTTTAAAAATTAACAAAGAGGAGGGCCCTTTACTACATGATTAGATTATAAATTCCCCTTCCTTATGAGTGGGACTGTTGCTGTCATAAAAGGATCAGTCCATCATCCTTTTCCTCTCTTTTTCCCTCAGTCTTCTAGCTTGGGCTTACACAGCTAGAAGGCCTCCACCAGGTGCCAGCACCCTGACCTTGGTCTTTCTTCAGAATTCCGAGCTGATAAATTTCTGCTCCTTAGAATTACCCCAATCTAGGGTGTGCTATTACAGTTGCATAAACAAACTAAGATAGGAATAACTAAGTTATTTTATGTATTTTTCTATCAGAAAAGTTTTTGTTTATCGTTTTTTCTAATTGAGTACTTATCTATGGTGCACAACATATATGTGTGATCTTAACCATCGCCGAGTGTGCAGCTCAGTGTCACACACGAAGTTCATACTACTGTGCATCAGATCTCTCAGACTCTTTCATCTCACAGCACTGAAGCCTCATACCAATTCAATAATCCCTTTCCTGTGCAGCCCTGGTCCCCAGAAACCTACCATCCTGCTTCTGGTTTCTAAGAATCTGACAATGTAGGATGACTCACATAAGTGGAGTTATACTATCAGTCTTTCTGGGACTTGCTTATTCACTTAATGTAACATTTTAAAAGTATATCCATGTTGCAGTACCTGACAGTGTTTCCTTCTATAAAAATTTGGGTGTAGACTACATTTTTATTCATTCATCTTCGATAGGAATGTGGATTGCTTCCACCTCTTGACAGTAGTGAATACTGCCTCTATGAACATGGCAGTGCACATATCATAACACTTTGTTTTCTTTTTTGTTTGTTTGTTCGTTCGTTTGTTTGTTTGTTTGGTGGAACCGGGGATTGAACTCAGGCCCTTGCACTTCAGGGAAGTGCTTATTCCACTGAACCATCTCCCTGGCCCCAACACCTTGTTTTCAATAATTTTGGCTCAATACAAAAACTTGGATTTCTAGATTATATAGTTGGTCTCTATTTGTAATTTTTAACTTTTAATTTTAACACTATTTTCCATAACAGTTACACCATTTTACAATCCCACCAATAGGGCAAATTTCAATTTGCCTGAATCCTAACATGTGCAATCTTCAAGAATTTTTTAAAAAGTAGTAGTCAAGTTTTTGTGTATAAGGTTCTATCTCATTCTGACTTTTACTTGCATTCCTGTGATAGTGATGTTAAGCATCTTCGTGTATAGATTTTGGCATTTTAACTATCGTTTTTGGAGAAATAACTATTCAAGTTTTTTTAAAAAATGTTTGATACAGGGTCTCACTACGCAGCTCGTATTCATGGTGATCTTCCTGTCTCAGCCTCCTTAGCACTGGGATTATAGGCACGCACCACCACACTTGGTTTTGGTGGCCAACATGGCATGAGGTATTAGGGATCAAACCCAGGTCCTCGTGCTTGCCCAGCAGGCACTTAGACTCTTGAGCTATCATCTCAGCCCAAAGTTTTTTTGTTTGGTTTTAGATTGAATTCTTTTTTGTTGAGTGTCAGTAATACTACGTATATTCTTAACATCTTACCAAATATATGATTTTCAAAATTTTCTCAGTCCGTAAATTTCATTGGCTGTGCGTTTTGATGCACCAAAGATTTTTAATTTGCTGTAGTCTTATTTGCTACATTTGCTTTTATAGCTTGTGTTTGGGTGTCACACTCAAGAAATCATTGTCAGTTTCATCATCATGAATTTTTTTTTCCTGAAGTTGTCCTTTAGAAATCTTATACTTTGGATCCTACACTTACATCTTTAATCTGTCTTTAGTTCATTTTTGTGCATAGTGTAAATTAAGATTGTTTTGTTTAGAACCACATGTGTCACTTAGCTTGTTATCGAACACCATACCTGACACCCATTACATAGAGGAAAAGAGGTTTAATTTAGCTCCCAGGGAACTCAACCAGTACTGTTGGAAGGCTCCAAGGCATATTGTGATGGCAGAAGAGCAACGCAGAGCAGAGCTTCTTAGCTTATGACAGTTGGCAGGCAGAGCAGAGGAGCAGAAGCAGGAAAAAAGGGGCAAGAGACCTGACACAGGGCCCAAGGCCACACCTCCATGACTGACAGACACACCCAGAAGTGGGCTGCACCAATCCCCTGGGTGGCTCCCAAGCCAATCATGTTGACTGACTGAGCAAGCTTAACTGTCAGAGCACCCTAAGCCCTTTTCCTTGTCAGTCCTCTGTGCGTACAATAGGGACATTAGCATTTAACAGAAATAAAGGGGGAGGCGAAGGGAGAAAAGAAGAGAGGGGAAGGAGCTGTACTATGTTGAATTTTAGCCTCTACCAGACACTGGAGGTCTTAATCACAGCTTCGGGCACACTGTCAAATTTTCTCCTC